AACGTCGAGCAAGACGGGAAATAAATTGGCGGCATAATGACGACGGAATTGGTTTCTTTGCCGCGGAGAATTGCCGCGAGACACGCGGCGGGATAGACTTTTACGCTCGCAATTCGTCCGTGTCGTCCCTAAATGCGTTCGCCGGAGCGCGCAGTTGATCGAGAAAAAAAGAATGAAAGGGGAGAAAAGGAAATAGCATCGAGAAGTTTTTGATTTAGAGGACGGCGCTAAATCCGGGAACGTTCGGTTTCTTTTTTCAGCAGGAACTGCCGCGCGGAGGATAAAGGATATGTTCTGCGACGTATACATTATAAGATAATAACTTGCATCGCGAAACTTTACGCTATTATATCTCCATGCATGTCGAGTAATTTTATACATGACGTTATGACACGAAAGTTTTAATGGCTGTTAAAATTCCAGTAGCGAGAGTATCTTGTTACCGTGAAAAAATTTCCATGCTTGACGTTTGCGAGATAGACCTGTGTTAATTTGTTATTTGATCGACGTTAGATGAGATCAAGATTCATTAATTCAAATCATAATAATATATCAGCACGCGTTTATCTTTTTATAAGTAAATCTCTCTTGAAATGTACGATGATAATAAAGGGTAAACCGGCAGATAACCGTTCTAATTACGAGAGACATCGTACTGTTTAATCATCCATCCTTCGTTACTCGACAATTTTGCGCAGCTTTGTCGAAAATAACATCGGTTTCGTGTCACGCTCCGGTTAATGATCACGACGTATTTAGCAAGGACGATCCGGAAACAGCCACGAAGCGAATGATAAAGTGAATCAGAGCGTACTTAACGAAGGGATGCTCGGAAGACGAAGAATAGTGCGGTTGCGCTCGCCTACACTTTCCTCCCTTTCCGCGCAAAAAATTCGGATCGCAATTACGGAATTAGTTCTTCTTCCTAGGAAAATGTGGCACCGGCGGTTGAGAGATAAAACAACAGGATGCTACTCCGAATGTCGGCACCTCATTTTTCGTCCTCTCTCTTTCTCTCTCTCTCTCTCTTTTTCTCGATATGTCGACGTCTACTAGCAAAAGAGACGATGCAACTTAACGTACGGACGATTCTCCCGAGCAACAAAAACTCAAATAAAGAAACGTTGTCTCGATTCAAAGATGGGGACATAAGAAACGCAGACAAGTCGCCGTGTCGCGCAGTGTTGCGAAACATAGCGAAACGTCGCGCAAATTTGCAAAGGGTCCGATAAAGCCCGAAGGACTAGAATCTTGGTTGTAGTATTTGGCGAAATGCTTCTCGCAGCGAATGTATACGAATGTATTAACCCGTATACATGGCGACCTGGCTGTTTGAAAGAATGTTCGGGTTACCGAAACAACGGTAGAAGATAGATTTTCATATCCCACGTTAAATCATCGTCAAAAATTATTCAGGTCATTTATCGTCGGAAATGATTCAAGTAGAAAGATAAATGAAAATCATAAATATTTTGCGGTTCAGCGGAGGAATTCGACGAAAGCAAGCTTTAAATTACCCATTCCGATACAATTTGCAATGGGCTTTCATTTTACTTCTTTAAAAAAAAAAAAAAAAAAAGCGACATACATCAACCAAAAACGCTTAGAGCTCTCAGGTATGCGATCTTCCGTGAATTTTGATTTTGTCGTGCATTTAGGGACGGACGAACTGTCGTTCTTAGACGTGCGCAAAAAGGGTTTTTGTTATCGATCGTGCGCATTACACATCGCGTTTGTCTTGTGCATCCGGGTAAGGAGCGTAAAGGAAAATGTATTGCGATATCTGGAAGCTATACGTTACAGATTGACATGAGAATACGCGAGATATAAATATTCCAGATCCCGGGCGTACCGCGTTTCCAATTTCACTTCTGTCATATAAGCGTGCAGAGATGAATACGCAAATACGTAAGGACGGCCACGAAAGAGAGAAAGATGGTAGGAGAGACGCTCCGATATATCAGGACAGCCGGGAAACGGGACAACGAGTCATAGTGTGCCCGATAAAACGCGCCCGACTTCATCTGGCCCGCGCCGTTGCCGCCGCTGTGCCACCGAAACTCGTCCCGCCGCTTTTCGATTATAAACTGCTAGACGAGCGAAGCAAGCGACGTAGGCATCGTCGATTTTGCTGGCGCATGTAAATCGGTAGACACCGAAAAAATTGCAAAAAATCCGATCGAGATGGGAAAGAGGGAG